ATTCCTGCTACTGGTTAGTGCGGCTTAGCAATGATCATTGTCACATGAGACCAAGATCACACAGGGATCTAAATCACGCTCACAAAACAATTTATTGTCCAACCCTATATATTAGCAATGGGATGTGAGAGCATCTCTTGTGAGCCTTCCCCCTTGAACAATGCAAGGTGCACTTACAGCACATTTATCACAAAACATGACAAACCAGCAACACCATGCCAAACAGGCTCATGTTCAACATCGGCCCAAAAAGACTCTGACCATAAGTCAGCAAGTTGACCTGTCAGCCAAGCAGTTAGCCATTTACACAGTATCACAAACATCCAGATAGTCAGTGTTACTGTGCATTTGGACCAAAAACAGAAGGCATGCTTTTGGGTTTCAGGGGTCACTGAGGCAGTAAAAGATGAAGGGAGGTTGGTCTGAGTCATAGCTTCATGAATTCAAAACACTGCTCATTGGTTTATATTATAGAATAGGTGATTGTACAACTCTGGAACATATCATCACAATAATCCTACTATTCCCCATGTGCACAGTTGCAAATGAATCTGACTAACCAGTGCAGCACTGGGTGTTTTTTTGCTGTAAAGCAAAAGATGAGCTAGGTTCAACCCACTGGATGCATGAATCGACCACTTTCTGTGTTTTTACAGGAGCCCCTTGCATTCATAAAGCTGCTGTCTGATAGTAAATCAGCCAAACAGAGATAATGGGAGTAAGTCGTCCAACCAGTCAGTAAGCCAATCAGCCAGTATGGCAGCCAGTCAACCAGTAAGCCTTCCAGTTGGTCATTCAATCAGTCAGATGTGGCAACAACATAATGAGATTATCTGTAGCATGCGATGTATGTGTTGACACCTCGCGCTCTCTCTCTGTCTGTCCGCTCTCTCTCTGTCTGTCCGACTGTATTTTTCTCCCTCGCTCTCTCCTGCGTGAGCGTCTCTCCGCCTAAGTGCTTCTCTCGCTCTCTGCCTCCCTCAGTCTGACTCACTCCTTCACCTTCTCCTCTGGGAGCGTCAGACTAAATGCCTGGACTCTCCATGGTTTCTCACAGCTGAAAGTGTACTCCACATCAGTGTGTGACTCACGGATTCATTGATCTGATCATTCATTCATTAAATTCTATAAAAGTGTTACAACTATGCAGTGTTTTAAGGGAAAAGCTGGTGATCATTTGTTTTTTTAAAGACAAATAAACCATGATCAAACCCACACTAACAACAAACTGATTCTGATCAAATAAAACAGTCTCCACCAAATTCACTTTCCTCGTGTTTGTTTATCAGAAACTACACAGATGTTTTAGGAAATGGGTGGACCTTTTAAAAAATTAAAAAAGAAACTGCATTTTATTCTGAGGCTTAAAAAAAATCTGTCTCTTTATTGATATGCAACACTAAGATGCTGGAGTAGCCTTGTAAGGTGTTAAGTGTTGCATCTTCAGCCATTTAATTTAAGTAGAAAATGGAAATGTGTGCATGTGTCCTACAACAAATCACACAGTGTGAATTTTGGAAGCATAACTGATTAGGAAACATCAATTGTATTGAAATTCTCTTTATGTTACACAGTCTAGACCAGACTAGTTGAGTGTCTATGGTATTGATTCAGATAATTAACCATCTGTGCCTCTTCGTTCTCTTTTTCTGCCCCTTCTCTCATCCCTCTTTCCTCATCCCTGTCCCCTTCTCTCCTCTCCATCTTGCTTTTCTCTGCAGGAGTTTGGAGGAGTAGTAGGATGCTGAGTATCTTTCCTCACCATCATCGTTTTCCACCCTGCTCTCCATGACCTGAAAGTGCCACCACAGTGGGAGGAACGAAACACCAGAGAGAGAGAGGAAGAGGAGGGCAGAAGGCCAGGGAAGGAAGGAAGGAACACACTTTTTTGTTATTGTTTTTTTTTCCTTTCTGAAATGGCAGCGACAGAAACAAGTGCAGCGCCAGTGGTCCAGGAAGATGGGAAGACCCCTGAGAACAAGGCAACAGAGGCAGAGCAACCGGCTAAAAATGCCAACGCAAACTCAGAGACTGTCAGCAGTGAGGCTGTTGATAAAGATGGCACCGCTGTCAACAGCGAGGTGGTTGATAATAAAGAGACTGCAAACCACGACACAGCTGTGGCAACAGGGACTGAGGAAGGGGACGGAGCAGCGGCTAGCGGTGAGGCAGCCCCTCCTCAGAGCTCAGAACACACCTCTTCTGCTGAGACCAAGAGCTCGTTCCTGGACTCCTTCCTCAACAAGAGCGGGCTGGGGAAGGTAATGGGAGGAAGGAAGAAAAAAGAGCAAAGCACAGCTGCAGGTGGAGCAGAGGAGAATGCAGCTGGAGGGGAGAAAGAGGATGAAAAAGGAGCTGAGGAAGCTGCAGCAGCTGAAGGAGGAGCAGCAGGAGGTGCAGAAGAAGAGGCAGCAAAAGAGAAAGCTCCAGAAAATGGAGAGAAGGAAGAGGAGAAGAAAGCAGAGAAGGGCAAACCAACAGAGGCTAAATCCACAGTTCGAGATCTGATCAGGAAGCCGGTGGCAAAGATCTTCTCCCATCGAAGCACCGAGAAGAAGGATGGCATTGCAGCAGAACCCCAACAAGTAAAAGTCCGGTCCAAGTCCCTGGACCGGCTGGAGGATCCAGAAGCACTTAACACCACTGCAGACTCCACTGTAGAGGAGGGAGGAACAGCAGAGGGAGGTACAGAGGGGGAGCAGAAAGCCTCGTCCCCGGTTGCCGCCAAGCACATGAGGCGCTGGCACTCCTTCAAGAAGCTCATGGCTCAAAAGGCGCATAAGAAGAGTGGAGGAGGAGGAGAAGATGGGAAGGAGGATGGAGCAGAGGGAGGAGAAGGAGGTGGTGGAGACTCCTCAACGCTGGACTCCAAGGAGTCGGGGCAGAAGAGGTGGAAGCTGAAACGTTCTTGGACCTTCCAGGGCCTGAAAAGGGACCCATCCATGGTTGGCATCAGCGGCAAGACTAAGAGCTCTGACAAAGACTCCGCTGACAACGCAAAGCCTGAGGAGGCGGCAGCTGCAGGAGAAGCTGAGGAAGGAGAAGGGGCTAAGGCAGAAGGAGGAGCAGAGGAGGGAGGTGAGGAGAAGGAGAAGGAAAAGGAGAAGGAGAAGGAGAAGGCAGAAGGGGGTGAGGAGGAGAAGGCAACAACAGCAGGAGGTGGGACAGTGACGCATCATGCCAGTGATATCTGGACCTCCTTCAAGAAGCGCGTCATCGCCAAGTCCAAGCGAGCCAACACAGAGTGCGCCCCCAGTGGGGAGGACGACACGGCTGCAGGTGAGACGACACAAAGTCTGTCAAACAAACCGCAAAACAGAACCTTCAGCAGGTTTATCTGAGGTACAGCAGAGATGTAATGATGAGGTTCACATCCACATCAGCTCTAACTCACCCTTCATTTGTAGCACTGAGATAAATTTGACTTTCTGTTCACAAGCATTTAAATGTTGTGACACGAGAATGGGGATTTTATTCCAAGAGTCACACCCTCTGCAGTAGATCACTGAAACCCAGCATATTTGTCTGGTTAGTGCCGTTTGTCATCTCCCAGCTGTTACTAGTTCCACTAAAGAGACATTTATTTGCCTTTTCTGTTTCTTAGATGGATTCATTTAAATAGCAGTTCAAGGGCCAGAGGTCAAATGATCCAATATTTTACAGAAAATGCATCAATTAGAGAAAAGAAATGTGTAGAGCAGAGCCTTGCTCTTTCTTTTTTCCCTATAAAACCCTGATTTATGTTGTGACCCTTTTGAGGAGGAATGGCCCCCAGCTCAGGAAACACTGCTCCTCAGGTTCTTTGGTATCCATTAACTCCAGTTTTATCCCTAAAGACTTTTTATGTCATTTTAAGAAGCAGTGTAGCCCATTTAAATCAACAGACGTGTGTAACAAAGCAAGCTTTCTGTTTTGTATCCAGTGCGGTTCACAGTGGACACAAACTCAGAAGCATGTTCACATTCATGTCCTCTCTGTCCCTGTCCAGGGAGCACAGACAGAAGTTTGTGGCTGAACATTCTCCCAGATAAAATATTCAACATCTGATGTGAAATTCAAATCACGCTGTGGCGTCAGTCGACAGCGAAGACTCACTTGAGGTTATTTTCGGCTCCTGGCTGCACGAAGAAAATGGTACAAAAACACAGAACCCTGGGCATAGCAGAGTACATCTAAGAGACAATACTTGGTTTTTACTGATTTTCAGTAGAGAATAGCAAGATTATTTTAAATAGATTAGATTATCTTAAACTGAGTTTCACCTGAATTCCTGTGGAAATTTTCCAGTATCAGAAAGTGAAGAGAAAAATGGAAGAAAATTGATTTTTTATGAAATTTGGTTGGTAAAAGAGGTAGAATATCTCTAGTTGGTGGGGCCAAACATGACTCCAGTGGGGTGAACATGTTGGTGGATCGGACAGAGCTTCAGTGATGTGGTGCTGGCTGTGCTATAAATCATTTTATTTAGGTTTTCTATCCCCCATTGGCCAAAAATAAAAATAATTCATACAGATTTATATGTGATTATCATTATGCTGTTAAAACAAACGCTTCAGTAACTGAATTTACTTTTATCCAGTGTGATCCACCTTTCAACAAATTTTTGAAGCTTTAACCCTGAACTCTTCTTCCCTCCAGGAGAGGAGGGAGCAGCAGAGGAGGGTAAAGACGGCAAGTCAGCCAAGGCCAAGCGCTCACACTTTGGCCGTGCAGTTTCCCTGAAGAACTTCATCCTGCGTAAGGGAAAGTCCACCAGTTTGGACCTGGGCGAGGGCACCAAGGAGGAGGAGGAGGAGGAGGAGGAGGAGGCTGCAGAGGGTGGAGAAGGAGGCGAAGCAGCAGTCGAGGGAGGCACTGATGGTGATGCTGCCACAGTGGCCAATGACAAAGATGCAGCAGTTGCTGAGAAGACAGCGGTGGAAGAGAGCGGAGGAGAGGCCATGAAGGAGGCAGAGAAGATGCCAGGTGAAGCTCCAGTGACCAATGGGGAGAATGGCTGCTCCAATGGCACAGCAGAGGAAAGCACCACACACAATCACCAGGAGGAGGAGAAGACGACAGGCAGCAGCCCCGTGAAGAAAAGCAAGGAGGCAGGAGGAGTGAAAGAGGACGCCAACGCCAAGATCCTCAACGCAACGGCAGCTGTGAACAGCGGTGAGTTAGAGCACGCCAACCGGGACTCTGATGAGCCACAAAACAGCAGCAGCAGCAAAGAAGGAGATACTAACAACAGACAACAACAACAACAACAGCAGCAAGTACCAGCACTAACAAACAATAGCAATAACCAAACTAACAGCAGCTGTCAAGCTGAGATAGCTTTAGTCATTAGCAGAGAGGAGGAGGAGCAGGAGGGAGGGGAGGTGGAATCTCCACAAAGTGAAGGTTATCATGATGGTACAGAGTCATGTGACCAGGGAGAGGGGGAAGAGGAAGAGGAGGAGATGAGGAAGAGGGATCTTCGAGAGGCAGCGGTGGCCATCGTTCAGAATGTGATGTCAGCAGCAACTGACCAATTAGAGAGGGAGCTGTGCGTTGACAACGGTGTCAATGGGTGTTATGATGCCAATATTAGATAGGCTGCTAAGCACACTGATACACATATAACACAAACACCCACTGCACTGTGGTGTGGAAATGAAATACACTTAAATGTGCCAAATGTAAAGTCACACAAATTAGCTCAGGCTAGTACACGTATACACATGCAAACACACAGTGTTTAAGCCACTGTATAAACAGTACCACATATACTGTGCATTTATACGCATGCCAATGTCCTTGGGTGATTGCATGCTGTTATTCCAAAATCTCTTTAAAGAAACAGCAGCGTGGTTACTAAATAAGTGTTTGTTCATCTATAAATAACCTGTGACTAGACAAGGAATCAGCTGCTTTGTAACTTCATTTTAATTATTATAATATAAAGTTCATGAAACAGCCAAACAACAAAACGCTGGTGGGTGCTGAGGTCAGCGATGACTCAAAGCAGACCACTGATGAACTTTATGAGCCAGTGCAGGGCCAACCAGCGACGAGAGGTATCAAAGCTGTCAGATCAGCAGAAATACACAAGTCTTATAACATCAAATAACTTATGTAAAACAAATGTACCTGAAAAACTGACACAAATCAGTGTGATAATATTTATTAAAATCACCTCTATTTGATTTGTGGGTACATCCCTAGTCTCTTATATGCATGCACATTTGCCCCACTTCCTTGCGTTTTTGTCCCGCCCACGTAAGATACAAGAAAAAAATACAAGGAGAGTAGAACAGAGTGAGTTCTAACACACAATGAGGTCAATAACTTTTTGATTGGATGGCTGAAATAAGGCCTGTGGTTAACACAAGGCCAATACATTTTCATGTTTTGTTCTATGACATAAAATACACCAGTGGGTACCCCACTCATGACTTTATAATGCTTTTACATGTCCTAAAAAGGCAGTTGCTAACAAGTGGCTAAATGATCCTACAGAGGCTGTTGGGGATATTAATCATCATCACAACAAACACACCGCCTTTACAGCCTTGCTGTGTTTAAAATTCATGCACTTGCAAACTATTCTAATGAACTGATCACTAGCTAGATCAGGTCACGCTAAGAGGAAAGGACTTCGTAGAAGAGGTTAGCACTATAAATCAAATTACAAGTTGGAAGCTGTGGTGGTGACGCCGAAATCATGTGATCGTGTTGTAGTTTTTACTTCTGGTGATTTGGGCTTCAAACATCATGAGGCGGTGTTCACCTGTGAAGATCATTCTTCCTGAAAAATACATGTGTCATAAGCTGTTGTTTGTCACGGAGCTTATTTTCCACAATAATCCAAAAGTCTATAGAAAAACCCCACTGGCTTTTGTTTGAGAGAACCAGGGTAAAGCTAACTTCCAGTGTGGCCTATAAAAATGCATCATCTCTACAGCAGAGGAATAGAGGAAACGCATTTTAAAAGACATGATGAAGCATCAAGTCACCAGCCAATTGCTGATAAAGGGGTGTCGGTCCATAAAAGACCTTAGTGAAGGATGGTCTCTTGTACCTTCACTCATGACTCCTCCAGCAGCCTCCTCACTCCTCAATCGTCACCTGACTTCTGGGTTGAGTGAGGTAAGAGGAGCAAAACAATTATATAAAAGACCTGGGATGTACCCTGGTGGTTCACGCCAACCACAACATCCAACAGTCCTGTTGCAATAACCTCTGGTTTTAGCTTTTATTTGATGGAGTTTGGCTCAGTTTGGCCCACAGACATGAACAGACTGAGCACTGATATGAGGAAGTATGATGATGGAGAATCTGACATTTTAAGACTTCATCTGGAGCTGCTCTGCTGAGTGTACTTGCTCTTTTCCACCAACGCTTCACTTTGCACTCATACCGTTTCACACGTTCCCACCTGGGAGCCGCTCTGAGCTGCCGCACACTGAGCAGCCGTAGGTGACGTGCCCGTGGTCCAGAATGCACTCTGTTCACCCCTCCATTATTTATCATTTGTAGCCTCCTCTCTGTCCAAATACTATGTGAGGCTCAGTGTCCAGCGGCTGCCTCACTTTTCATCTCACACAGCCCAACAGATGCTTGTGGAGGGCATCAAGCTCGAACCCTACTTCACACTGAGGCCTGAAAACGTGCCAATCTCTCTGAGTTGTCGAAAAGACGTACCAGCAACTGCTTTTTACTGAAAATAAGATTCAGTCAGCTACATGCTGAAAAGCACATCAATCTAGTGTCCAGCCTTTTGGTTTTACAGATCAGCCGTAACTGCCACATTAATGGCATGTGTGCTAGTGATGGTAATTTACAATTTGCAAGAATTTGTTGGCTCGAATACCTTAAACGTCTGGCTGGTGTAAAAACAGCCACTTGTGTTCTATGTTAGCTTCCCGGTTCAAATTAGGATTGAACATGGCCCCGTGCAGGTCGCCTTTGCTTTGGCAGCACTTAAGAGTCCAACAGGCATCGCAGCTACACCTGTAAAATAAAACAGACTTAAACTGGTGCTTATTATTTATTACATTTTGTACATTTGATTCTTCACTCTACACAGGCAGGCCTTCCAGGCAATGCTGAGAGTGGTGAGACAAAGTGGTTTGCTATAAGAAGAAACATAAGCACCACTGTTGTGCGGTGGTCAGCTGGGCCTTTTCTATTGTTTTTGTTGCATGGATTTAATCACTCACAAACAATGAGCAATACATAGAAATGGGTTTTAAAAAGTAAAATAAAAGACTCCTACAGGGAAATTACATTATTGAATGCATGGTCAGGGGCCCCTGGCAATGACCACCAGTGGGCCATGGACCACTGGTTGAAAACCCATGCTATAAACTGTTGTATAAAAAGACATTTCACTTAGGACGCTTCATTTCTGACTGGACCGGGAAGGTCTTCTTCCCAGCTTGCCGTCTTCCACACCAGCGCTGAACCAGCAGCAGTGACACCAAAATGAATATTACAGTATCTCAGGAAGGTTTTGCTACATTAGCTTATCATAGAGATACTGTTACTACAGTTACTACAAAATGTTCAAAGTGAGTATGTGTTATCAACATGAAGTCAAGTACAGTGTATGCTCTGCATTCATGGCCTCAAACTACGGCAAACGCCAGCCTACAGACAATGGATGCTGCATGACTTCTCGATTAAAAGCACCGAAACTTCATCGCAGCGTCCCTCCTCGATCCTCCAGCTGCTAGCTGTGCCTAACTGTAGCTCAGATAGTCAGCTCTCTGCTTGCTATGAAAGAGGAAAGCTGGTTTAGAGAGTCCATCAACGGATTAGTGGGCTAAATCAAAGTGTCACGGAGCCTCTTCGACAAGCCAGATTAACTAGTCCTCCCTCTCTGTGTAAAAAAACAAACAAAAACTAACTGTTTTTATGCAGACAGACTTATGGATGGTTAGAATAATGATTAGCTCGAGAGTCTGAGCTCTGAGCACAAGTGGGAGAGTCAAAAGCACAAATACAGGTACACGATGAAAAGGGAAATGGTGAAAGACACAGGCAGAAAGAGACGAACTGTAACTTCTTCCTGTTGTTGTCATGTGACAGTGTTCTTCCCTAATGTAACGACACTTTTCTCATGAAGCTGTTGTGTTGCTGCTTTGTGTATGTCCTTAACAGAGAGATACCTCACACTAACTCAGACCAGTATCAGCACCAAACTGCTGAACACAACATGTGTACTGTGTACTTTTGGTCCAGGCACCTTTTATGTGACTGTTTATTATTATTATCCTATTTTTAATACATTTTTTCTGCTATCATTTACCAGACAAAAAGGCGGGAAACGTGTGAGGCCACACAAAGAGGATTAGAACTGCCCGGGATTCGCTGAGCAAGGAGCTCTGAACCCCCGCCCCCACCCCCACCTCCCCAAAATCCTCCTCCTCCCTCCCTTCCTTCATCCCGAATAAACGGAATAATCACGTGTTAACATATGACCATGGTGAGAAAGAGAGATTGAGAGAATGAGAGAGATGCAATCCATGTAGATGACAAGTGAAAAATAATAATTACTCAGAAAGCAATAATTCAAGCCCTTCTTTTCATCCCCCATCCATCCTTCACTCCTCCATCCATCCACCCCCTCGGTCCAGTACATGCATACATACAGACATGTACAGCCAGTGCTTTTATTTTTTCTCTGCTTGTCTGTGAGATTTTTTTTTTTACTGTTTGTGAGAGAAAAATGCAAAAACGTAAAGAATGAAACTGCAGACCCCCCCACCCCCACCCCCTTGTCTTAAACTCTGCTCTCTGTCAAGCCTGACTCCTGATTGGTGGATTTAATGAACAAAACAAACAAAAAAAAGACTTAGTTTTATATCGATGGCCATTTTGGTTTGTAGTTTCCCTCGACCAGCCTTCGCCCCCTTCCCCCCCCCATCAGCCTCCGTAGATATTTGACAGTACAGCGGGACCATGTTGCTACAGTATATAAACTGCCCTGAGGACTGCCACTTCCCAACCAACACTGCAATGTCTCCAGCTCTGTGTGTTTAATGTTTTTAGACTGTTATATTGTGTACATGATTAAAAAAAAGGGAAAACCACCACTGAAAATTAAAGTCAAGATGCTTTTTCTTTTTTCTGTTTCAGTTGGATTCTCTTTTTTCTTAGTTTTATTTTTTAAAACCACATCCTGTCACTGTTTCCGCAGTCTGACAATACACTGTAATTAAAAAATAATAATAATGATGATGATGATGATGATGTTTTGTTGGTCCAAGTTTTCACATGTCCGCTAGCAAATTGTCAAGAAAAAAATAGTACAATAAAGACTAAACTCTAACAACTAAACCACAAGCCAGTGTGGGGTTTCTGTTTTTATCTGGGTGACTGAGGTGCTGTGTGCAAGGTGGAGGCTCGGCCCTGACCAGGCGTTATGCCAGATCACCGCTGGAGGCTCATTAATCTGTGTATCGATAATCTCATCCTTTTACGTAATGGGTGGAATAATACAAGATTTCTTTGTATTAAAGTAGATTTATGCGTATTATCTGCTGTTTCATGTAGACGTCCATATATCAGACGCCGTCTCTTCACTCTGCTGTTAGAGCAGTTTTATATTTCATACAGGAACATAAAACTCTGGAAGGACATTGTGACCTTTAACCTTTAGGTTCCACCACAGTTTACTGAATTTAGTGACAAATTACCACTTGTAGCTAAACTAAATTCATTTACATTTAAAAATGACGTAACAAAGAACAAAAAAGACATGCACTCTAAATGTCCAAAAGTATGTGGACATCCATGGCAACATACTGTGTACTTTTGGTCCAGGCACCTTTTTTTTTCTAATGAAAGAAAATTGAATTAAACCAATCAAACTATGTGAAACATGAACAGTTCCTCATGGGATCCACTATTACAGGCAGCAGCTGGGGGAAGGTGCTGTCCCGCTTGCCTTAAACCCAAATGTAATCCCACAGTAGTCACACACACTAACTTTAGGCTGACGTTCAGACTGAAGGGTACATGACGGCTGATGACCTATCAGAATGACCAACAATCTGGCGGTTGGCTGACATGGATTTGCTGTGTTCAGTCATTTCAGTTGGCTGCCTGCAGTTTGATCTGCGATTTGATTTCCCATGTGACTACTTTCAAAATATTTGTTAGGGTATAAAATGTTGTGAGCTTGTTATGAAATACCTAGAGTAGTGTTTTATATCACTTGGACCTACACACACTGCATGTGTCAGTGAGCTTGGTGCAGTTCCCCCAACAAATGACTTCATTTTAAAGACTTTTGGTGGCTTAGAGAGAGAATTAAAACGGTCCTGAAAGACTAGGTATCGTCTTCTTTCCCACATTTTGAGGGGCTCCTGACTCTGTTTGGAACCTCTGTTTTACATTTGGCTAACTGTCGTCTTGACTGCGCCTGTAGCATGATAGAAAGAGCACTGTCTGGATGTTTCACCAGCTATAGCCACTTAATAAATGAAGGTTTCACAGAGAAACAGTAAAAAATGATGCACTGTAATAAAGCTTCATAGCAGTGTATAGAATAGTTACATTATACTGAACTCAAACAGCTGCAACAGTAAAATACTGTTTACACATTAATGCATCAGCAGCAATAGAACTCTGAGGCCAGTTGTCTTTTACTTTTAACACTTTAAGCACATTTAGCTAACAATATAAACGCACTTTTATCCAAGTAACCTTGTCAACTTAAACCTTTTCTTTGGAGTATTTTGTGCAGTATTTTTGTGGTACTCATACTATAAACTAAGTAAATAACCCTATACTTCCTCCTCCACTTTGGTATTTGGTACAAAATGTAACTTGCTTTTTTTTATATCCATTTTCTTGATAATGTTATTTAATATAATAACATTCAACTTGTTTTCTTTGTTCTTTCCCAATGGAATTTTACAATTAGTCTCCTTGCCCTAACTTCACTGTCAGCGTCCCACAAGGGGTCCACACGTCACACACTGGGACTCCCAGTAGCAGTAGTGACATGTTTGGCTGTGTGCGCGTGGTGATAAGTCCCCACTGTCAGTGGAAATCGGCAGCATACTGTCTTGCTGTCAGGCCAAATCTCTGGGATTATGTTATTACAGCCATAATGACAAGAGTACAGTAGCTGCACACACACACAACTTCAGGAAAACTGATGCTTTGTCATTTAAAGACGTTTTAATGGACAAAGCGAGGCGATAATCACGTCAGTCTCGGTGGAGAGTAAAGGAACAGCAATGAAATCCACACTAACACCGAGTGGAAGCAGCTCCAAGGAGCAGATGGAGAACATGACAGGATACATGATCATATCTGAGCCTTTACAGTTGTGTTTAGATTCGTCTTTCACTGAGATGCACTGGTCACAGATATGGAAGAGGAGGAACAGATGGACATGTCAGGGCTGTAATGTAAACTCACCAGAATCCACCTACATATAGTGGGCAGACAGGCTTCTGTCTTCATGATTAGATTAAATAACACTGGTAGATTGAAATAGGTGAGGATTTCAGTGCCGTACTGAGAGATAAGTGAGGGAGGCTGACATTTAGGCTACAGTTGCTATCATTAGATCAAATTTGAGGATTTGGGGTCATGTTTAAGACATTTTAAGCACAGAGAGGCGGAGAACAGAACGTTAACACTAGCTGCTCCATTTGGAACATTAATATTACATAAGTAGTTCAGCAGTATCATGCTAACCTCCACTGGATTCTTCTTTTCTCTTCATTAGCCAGAGTCTTTGGGTCCAGAGAAACTCGAAGGTGCAACAGATCGCACGGACGTACCACAAACTCCACCTGACACAGGTGGACTTCAGGTAGGTCAGTGATGAGCAGCAGTTTCATTTTAAAATGTTCAGCATGACAAAGTAAAAAAAGGAGGAAGAAAAATTTAGATTTTCAGATGAGGCCTGTAGCATCTTAGCTGCTTTGTATGCTGCCTTTGATTCAGACTGAGGCGTGTGGTTTTCTGATCTGACAGCGGCTGTGCAGGCAGGTGTAGTCGTCACAGGGCAGTAGCTGAGAACTGCCAATCCAGGTTGTGATAAAGCGGGAACTAGGATCGAGGGGCATCCTGGAGGTACATCAAAGCACAACCACCCAGTTTTCTCTGTTAGCATCCACTGCTCTGTCTCTCTCTCAGCACCAACACAACACTTTCACATCGACTCCATGGATCAGCACCTCCCAGCTGCTACACCTGCTTCTTCTTTTTACAATTTCCTCAGAGAAAAAAAAACAAAAAAAAACACCAGCGCTGAAACACAAAGCTAATAATTTACATTCCAAGTTTTTATTATGAATATTTGATTTATTTACAAACCAAACAGCACATTACTTTACATGCTGCACAATAAACAGATGCTGCTGTGGGATGAAACCTCCACCACTCATATAAAACTCACACCAGTTCAACTTAAAAGTAATCACAAAGGCTGAGTAGCTGTTGCACTGCAGCCGGCTGTTAACACTGGACTGACTCCCGTCTCCTCTTCAGACCACAGCTGAACCGTTTAGAAGAACAGATGTTGCATTTCTCAAGCTTTTCCGATTAAACTTCCCTTTAAGCTTAAATACTGATCTGTGCTCTGGTTGTGACATGTTTCAACTGTAAGTGCTCTGTACTCCTGCACACTGCATTTAAAATGAAACCACTAGCTGCCCCGTCTAACCAGACCCTTCACCGGTTCAGCTGCAGGTCTTCTTCACGGGCGTAGCTGTAGGATGTAACACAATGAAAACTCAGTATCTGTGAATATTCAATATGAGTGACATCCATAATCTCAGTGCCAATCCTCACTGACACAAAGCATTCTCTCTGATGGTGCCGCTCACAGCGAGCAGACAACAAAGAGGGCCGTGGGCTTTTCCCTTCAGCTGAAGCAGATGATGTATGGAGTGTTCAGACCATTCAGACAAGTCACTGTTGACAGTCTGGAACACATGGAGACAGAGAGCTGGCTGCGGTCGTGAAGATGCTACACGCTACACACACACACACGAGGCTGGGACAGGAGTAACATGTGCGTGTCTCTGGCTGTGGAAGCAGATACTATAAGTGATTGTGGTTGTGCATGAATAAAAGTGGAGGGGGGAACATCAGACACTGCAACGGATGGACATGCTCCGTGACTCTGTCTGGCACAAAGGGAGACGGAGACCCTCAGGTTCAGGTCAAGGTGTCCAGCTGCATTTTTACAACCTGACAGAGCAGTCTAAGGCTTTGTATTGCCCTGTGTGGTCTGTTTAGTTGGAGTACAGCTCACCTGTGTGAGAGGAAATACAGCAACTAGTCTGCCGTCTGTGCTCTAAACGCTCGGCCGTAGATGTTAAAGTTCAACTAATTTGGAGGGCAACATGAATATATGTACCAAACACCATAACGAGAGCGTTCACTCAGAACCACAGCCTTATGCTCCAGGTATGAAGTCGGCGGGTGACCAAAATGCTGCTGGTGCTGGGGTAAAAATAATGGTGGTCACCTAAGTAATTGGGATTCATCCTGTGGGGAGCGTGAATGTCTGTACAAAATGTAATGGCAGAGGAGACCACAGAAGTCACTGGAACACACAGCTTTGACAAGAAGAAGCGACGTGATGGAAAATTCATTGTAATGTCTACAGTCAGTCAACGCAAAAGATAAAAGTGTGCAGTTTTTCCATTCAAGGGGATCCAAGATATTCTCAATTTTCATGGATATTAATTAGTCAAATGTAGGAAGCATTTTGTTTTTAATAACTTTTGTTAGAAAAACCTGCCAAAGTTCCTTTGTGCTCTCAGCTGAAGTTTGTGTGAGGCTTCATGATGAGAGCTGAACATGACGTTTAAGGTTCATACTGCACTGTGACCACAACTGGAACAGCAGGAAAGAATGAGGAAACCATTCACATCCATACTGTTTTCCTCTCTCATTCATAATCAAAGGAAAACTCGCTCAACGCGCATCCAACAGTCAACACACAAACACCTCAGCAGCAGTGAAAACACAAAACGCCTGATGAGGTGTGAAAAGGAAACAAAGGCAAACAACCGCCCTGTATCAGAGATTCTCATTAACATCACATCTGTCAAAATATACTGTGTACAGAGAGATATAAATACAAACAGGCAATAAAAAGAAAGATAAAAAGGTGTGTGCTGCTGTGACCACTAGTCCCAGTGTCTGAACAGCCAAGGCGTACAAGGCTCCTCAATTCAGGGATTAAATTGCAAATCAACACCATCTTCATTTGACTGTTTCACCCATCAGTTGGTCCGTCATTCATCTTCTCCCCTCACGTGTGCATTTCCTCCACCACATATATTAATCTGTCCGTTTACCAGACTTGTTTCTCAAGACCTCCTGCTCCATGTTTCTTCTTCTCGTCTGTCTTTCCTCTTTGGTTTTACTCCATCTTAGACATCTCAAACTTTGTCGCAATGGCTTCCTGCAACAGAAAACACATCACTGAGAAACACTGATTGTAAAGTGTTAGCCACACACAGTAATACCTGGTCCACCGGTCTGATTTGATGTTTAACACTGCATTGTCTGCACATGTTATACAAAAACTAAGGATATCAATTTTCTTACTGCTCAGAGAATGAACTTTATTTATGGTCATGAGGAAGTGACATGAAAGTAGCAGCTTGTTAGACCAATGGCCGCCAGATGCTGCTCCAGTACAACTCACGACTGTAGCGGTGTGAAGAGAAAAAGCCCAAACTTGCCTCTACTAGCAACATAAGCTCTCGTTTGTTCATTTCAGTTCTTCTAATGTTAGTCAGGTTTCTACAGCTTAAGCATGTTTAAGAGTGCTTGATGAAGCTACGCTTGAAATCAGGTGACATTTCTGATGCTGGTGGCTCTGCAGGGAGCAGGGGGACTGTGGACTGCTGCTGTTCATTTTATCGTCCTTTTATTCTAACATCTGACCCTGCATCAGAGACTGTAAAGGACATTCCAGTGTGCAACTGCTTCATATTTACTATGAAGTTGGTCCCTCTCAGTGCACAGCTTGCAGATTTGATATAAGAGGCACTTCGATGATTGTTGGATCACTTAGAAAGGTTCAGATTAAAGATTCAACACGTCAGAATATACACGCAACAGGGGAGATGAGCTAAATAAAAGCCCTGTAGTGTCTGATGAACAGAGTCCGACTGGTCTCTCTGGACCAGATAAATAATCGGAGCGTTCTTATATTCTGTTGACTGTTAATGGCTGCAGAGCATCAACACCTCACAAACATACGCACACAAACGTCACACCACCACATCGCTCTCTTCGCCATGACAACAGCGAGGAAGATAAACAACAGTGTGACGTAACCGTGGCAACTGATGCTGACTGCTGATTGTTTGCTGCCACCTACAGCTCGGAACCAAAACTACACATACAAATCTTTGAAAGTGTCGTAGAGATTTCTGTGCTCATTGAAAACTAGTTCCACTTTTCCTTGAATTCTTGGTTTGTCCTTGACACAAGGGGTTAAACAGGGCAGCCTGTAATTTACAGTTCAGGTTTCACCAGTCTGTCTGAAGGCAGCCTCACTCTCTAAAGCTATGTCTACAGTTGAGCCCAGCCCAGTAAACCCACCCAATCAAAACCGCCCAAAACTGACTGATCTTATTTTCTGTTTTTAATTGATGTCTATTTTTACTTGACCCTGAAATGACATGAACCTTGAACAAGGATCTACAAAGTTCAGTGTCGTCTCACAGTTTGGTGACATGACAAAACTATACAACTTACCTCATCCGAGTCCAGTAGGGGGGGCAGGGCACTGTGAGGAGAGAAGAAACACCTTCAGCATCAAGTCTGACTCTTTAATTTCTAACAATTAATGACATGTAAAAATGTGAACTGATTTCAGGATTTATACTTACACATCTGCCATGGATGATGGGATGTTTTCTTCAACCCACTTCAGATCTTCATCCTGGAAAAACAACAGAATGGCACTGAACTGCAGTCGTGTGGTTTTTTCTCTACTATGTTTCACATTTAAAGACAAACCTGATGATTCTGTTAGATAAAAGGAAAGAACTGGACAAATACTGCTAAATATTAGTACTATAATTTACTATAGTGTACTATAACGTAGCGGTATTTTGTAAGTAATCAGCAGTACTTGAGCACTCGGAGTGAAAACTGTTCTTGGAAACTCGGTTAACACATACAATAAATATTACTTTAGACAAATCTAACATCCATCAAATTAGAGAATAACTACACCCAAACCTAAAGCTGAAGAACAAAAAGGTAAATATATATATTAAACATAAAAAGACAGCTGTGAGTGTAATTCTTCCAAAATGGCTTCTGCTGGTCTGAGCAGTTATACTGTTCACTCACCACCTTGTTGGCTTTGGCCAAACCATTGGCTTCATTTTTCGCGCCCCTCATCTTCATCCCCTCTGGAGGCATAAACGAGCACAAAACAAAGACAGAGATGAAAAAATTCAGAGGTGAACTCACAGATAAAACTTTCCATGATGCCTTTTCCATTGAAAGCTGATCCCATGCTGGTGATGTTGGACTGCTGTGAGTAAACCTCTCTTTTAGTTTTCATTTATAATTGTGATAATTATCAATTAAAAGGCTTCAGATAAAGTGGGACCAATGTTTTTATATTACTGATTTAAATTTAATCACTGTGTCCCCAACTATCTCACTAACTAAACAGAAGAGACGGTGGAGAGGTGGGACAGATATAGCACAGGACGGGAAGGGAGGCAACGAGGAAGGAAGGACAATAGAGAGAGAGAGAAGAGAGGAAGGGAGTATGCAGGTGTCTGACCAAAGGCCTCGTTCATCATGGGCTCCTTCTCCTCTTCATCAGTCTCTTCATCCACCAGTGGAGTGAAGGCATACCTGTTACAGAGAGAGACAAACTGACTGTACCGGAGAATTCAAAACAGAAAAATTGTCAAAGTAAAAGCAACAGGCCCAACACACATCCTCATACCTCTGGTTATTGGCCGATGGTCGCCATAGGAACATGATGACCAATAGGATGGTGGAAAACAAGAAGCGCCAGAAGGCGTCCACTAACCACAGCTCCCTCCAGTCCTGCAGACACACAGGTTGTTAATGAAACGCTTCTACAAGGAAGAAACACATTCCTCCCTGATGTTAAAGCCTTTTGTGGAGTTTTTGACATAGAAAAAGAATTTCTTCTTTCTACTGTTCACTGACCAACAACAGGAGTGCAGCGCTAACTTGGTGGAGGACTTACAGACTGACAATCGGCCATCCTGAAGGTCCTGGACGTCCAGATGATGAAGATGACTGAAGCTGGAAAACATTGACACACACATGACCTTTACATTATGAGCAGTGGCTCTCAGTAAGTGACAAACACACACAGAGTATTTTTCCTACCTATAACAGCGAAGATGAGTGTGTTAGTGAAGTGTCTATAGAGGGAGAGCTTCACCACATTCCTCCTCAGCTTCAGCAGCTTCATGGTCTGAGCCAGACTCACAAAGATGTGATGACACAGTTAAGGCTCATCAGAATGTATTGGATCATTGTAGCAAGAAGCCAAAGCTGCACAGTATTCAATTCAAGGTAAAAATGACATTTCTCCTATTTCATAATTCTGTTTGCACCAGATGTGTCGGGTTTCAGACTCACCACAATGACACAGTTGGAGA